TTAAGGTATTACGCATGTGTCCTTATCCCCCCATTGTCCCCTGACCCCCCACTCATGCTCTCATCCCCCTAGTGTCTGTGTTCATTGGTTATGCTTATATGTATGCATACAAGTCCTTTGGTTGATCTCTCCCCCTTACCCCCTCCCTCCCCTGCTTACCTTCTGAGGTTTGATGGTCTGATCAATGCTTCTCTGTCTCTGGATCTTATGAGGCGAATGGGGCCCAAAGACTGCACGAGTGATTCTGCCTTTCCCAACACCCATTTTAATGGCTCTTTGCATGACACTAAGTCACAGTTGATGCCACATCATGCCCCTAAAACTCATTCTCAAATGCTTTGGTGTTTCCCACCTACTCCTGCACAGAGGCATGGGAATGGCAGGAAGCATTCTGAGCGGTAAGAGAACTAAATGACTCAGGAAACTTGCAGAGTGTGCAAGAGCAGGAAGCAGGAGGCAGAAGAAAACAAGGGTGCATTCCCTTCCCGGGACCGCTGAAACCAAGAGCCCAAACTGGGGAACTTAGAACAAGAGAAATGTATTATCGTATTGTCTCACACTCTGGAGGGCAGAACCAAATCAGAGCCATGCTCCCTCTGAAGGCTCTAGGGAGGATCTTTCTTTGCCTCTCCCAGCTCCTGGGGTTTGCCTGCAATCCTTGGTCTTCCTTGGCTTACAGATGTATCACTCCAATCGCGTGTCCATCTTCTCCCTGTACATTGTCTTCCTTCTGTATATGTCTATATCCAAATTTCCCTTTTTATAAGGACACCAGTAATATTAGATCAGGGGCCACCCTAATGACCTCATGTTAACTTGATGGTCTCTGCCAAGATTGTTTCCAAAGAAGCTCACATTCTTTTCTTTTTTTTAAATATATATTTTTTTATTGATTTCAGAGAGGAAGGGAGAGGGAGAGAGAGATAGAAACATCAATGATAAGAGAGAATCATGGATTGGCTGCCTCCGGCACACCCCACACTGGAGATCAAACCCACAACCCAGGCATATGCCCTGACAGGGAATCAATCCATGACCTCCTGGTTCATAAGTCAACGCTCAACCACTGAGCCTCACCAGCTGGGGTGATGCTCACATTCTGAGATGCTGGGGCTTAGGACTTCAACTTCTCTTTTTTGAGGGGGTCGCAATTCCACAGACCTGAGCTTTCTCCTAAAGACTGGGGCTATGTTTGGCTTTGTGTTCTTAAAATGTTCCTCTTGTGAAGAAGTAGAGAATTGTTTAGAGGGGTCAGCCTGGACCCAGGGAGTCCTACCTGGAGCTTGTTTGTGAGAGGCAAGGACCTGAATCAAAGCTGCAGGGGTACTGGGGACTGGAAATAACTAAAATGTTCATCAACGAATGAGTAGCTACATGAAGTTATTATGCTAATGGAACAAAATATCATTCAGCAATAAAAAATAATGTTATAACATGAATGAACCTTATGAAAAACATTATGCTAAGTGAAAAAAGTCAATTACATTATTATATGATTCACTTTGTATGAAATGATCAGAATAGGCAAATCCATGGAGACAGAAAGTTGATTAGTAGTTGCTAGAGGCTGAGGAGAGGAGGAAATGGGGAGTAACTGATAATTACAGGTGTGTGTTTTTGTGGGTGATTGAAAATGTTCTAAAACCGATTGTGGTGATGGTTGCACAGCTCTGTGACTATATTAAAAACCATTGAATTGTCAACTTTAAATGCACTGTGTGGTATGTGAATTACATCTCAATATAAAATAAACCACTTAATTACATTCTTCTCAAATTATCTAAATTATTATCTAACCAAGTTTCTAGCTTCTAAGAGACTTGTGTTGAATATTGTTTTTTAAACCTTGACTCATTCTAGCATTTAGCTACTCTATGGATAATTACTCACTGACAGAAATAGTGCTGTCAAAATGTTCCACAGGTTTGTTCATCTCCAAGATATCCAGTCATAAAGGTAAACACGGGTTTGGAAAGAGAAGCAAACCATCCTAGGAATTGTAGACATTGTCCTAAGTCATGTATTTGCTAAAAGTGTCTATTAAGAATGACTCGGCATTTTAGGGTTTGGTTCCCCTTACTTGCTTAGAATTCAATCCTCAGCTCAACCAGTAAATGTTGAAGTTGCAGCCTGAGTGCTTATTGCTTGCAGAGACCCCTGTAGCGGGCAGAGGTTAGCTCAGGGGTGGGCAAAGGATGCTTGCTGCCCCCTCCCCACCCAGCTCCGGGCCCTGCTGGGTAGAAGTTACTGATACTCACTTGGAATTTGTTCAGACCAGCATTGCTCAATTTCAGCACTATTGACATTTTGGCCAGGTAATTCTTGGTTGGGAATAAGTGGGTGGGTATTTCTTGTGCTTTGTAGGATTTTTAACAGCATCCCTGGACTTTACCTACTAGTTAGTTGACAGTGTCACCCCCAATTGTGACACCAAAAATGTCTCCAGACATTATCCCGCAAGGGTCAAAATTCGCCCCCATTTCAGGACCACTATTTAGATTAGGGGCAGGGAACTTCCAATCGCGGGCTGTATAAGGCCCGAGAAATCTTTGGTCTGGCCCTGCCAAGACATTATCAGTGAGTGAATTAAATGTTTGACCAAATATAGCAGGCTGATTTTTAAGTTGATAATTTTGTATGGCCCTCGAATTATGTTATAAATATTCAAATGGCCCTTAGCAGAAAAAAAGGTTTCCCACCCCTGATCTAGATGATTCCAGAACACAAGAGGAGAAAACTTGGGAACAAAAGAGCTAGTACTGAGAAATTTGGATATAGTTTTCTGGGAAGATGCTTCCCAAAGAATGCTGCAAGAAAACCACATTGTTTTTATCACTTCACAGAAAGTCTCAGCCTGTATTGAGTGTCCCAGGATCTGGCCTGGCCTGGAGCTCCTGGAGGCAGAGAATGTGGCACAAGTAGAACTGCTTAGGGGGCGGGTGATAAGGTGCATGAGGCTGGTGAGGAGGTCCTGGGTGGCTTCAGAACATCCAGGGCTGCCCAGGGCCTCTCTTCTGAGGGTCTCCCAGCGGGAACCACCTGCTGGGTGCCTCAGGGGCTTCCCCAAAACATCTTGGGCAGAAACGCCCAGGAGCCCTGGAGGTCGCTGAGTCCCTCCTTGGGCAGAGGAGGCTGGTGGGGCTGTGGTCAGAGTCACACTAACCTGGGCGTAAGTGGGAAGAGATCTCATGCTCTCCCACACAGGCGAGGCTGGGAGCACACAGGCTGCCCTGAGGATAGGCACCCTTGATTGTGCCTCCGTGTTATGCAAGGATTGTTCCCTAAAGGCTTTGCACATATTTGAAAGAAATATGAGTATGCATTTGAAGTCAGGCCAATAGTTACCTATACAACAGGCTTGCTGACTTGAGAAATGAACTCGAATTTCATCGTTTATTAATTTGAAGTTCTCGGATTATTTCTGAAGTTAAATGTGTTTTCAAACTTTTATTGGCCACTTCTGTTGTTTATGTATTGCCTGATCATGATATTTGCCTACTAAGGAGTGTCGAGGTTTTTGGGTTTTTTTTAGCTATAAATCAGGCATTAATTTTTTCTGTTTGATGATGTATCTTCTTTTTTAAAATATTTATTGGATGAGGCCATATAACAAAACAAATTATGTTAATGTGAACAATTCAGTGGCATTTCGTCCCTTCACGACGTTGTGCCCCCGCCATGTCTACATGACTCCCATTCTCATTATTCCAAAGTGCACACTTTTTCATAGTGTTGAAATGGTTTAATTGTTTGACCAGTGAAACTGATTTTGATCACTGCAACTTAATTTCTAATAATTACACATACAAGTTGACACAGAATTCTCTCTGTGGTGACACGCAGGGACTGCTAACTGAGACACAGATGAAAGCCAAGCACAGGCAAAGCTTCAAGGCCCAAAAAGCACACTCACGACAGCCTGTTTTTTTCAATGTGAGTAAATACAACTTTTTTTTTTTTTGCAAAAATATATGGTTGGTACCAAGGTATCAAAAATGATATTTTTCCTTCCTTCTTATAGCAAATGATTCTTTTTACACTTTTGCTTATTAACTTCTTAATTAAATGTTATTGACATATGAGGTTTCTATGCCCTGTGCTTCCTGGAGTTTGTTCAATTATGCTCTTCACCCCTGCAGCTACTGTTGACCGTATCAACAGAGATATTGGCAGATATTAAAGAAGGCTGGCAAGGGTCTTTGGGACCTCTTTGAGGCTTTCTTTCTGATGAAAAAACAATGCATTGAAAAAGAGAATTCTGGTCTGAAAGTTTACGTGATCTGAAGCTTTTCAAAGGTGTAAAAATTCAAATAATATTTTTTTAAAAACAAACTCACAAGTTTTTATTTTTCAAAGCCCTCTTTCCTCATCTGTCAGAGGGAATCTACAAACCCTTGCCTTAGGTCAGAGGTCAACACGCTCTCTCTGTAAAGGGTTAGATAGTAACTAGACTGAGTGTGCCACGTACCCCTCTGTCTCATAGTTCTGATTGTTTTTAACATCCTTTTTAAAATATAAAAACCATTCTTAGCTCTGGACCATATAGCAACAGGCCTGTGGGCTGAAGTCCATTTGGTTCACCAACTATAGTTTGTTAACCCCTGGTTTAGGGACCAGGGAAAAAGCATGGCACAGAGTTGGGAGAATGGGTTTTGACCTGGCCTACCCTCTTAGCTGTGTCTCTTGGTCAAGGCTTCACCTGTTTCTTCAACAGGTAAGTGCAGGATTTGGCTTGGAAAATTTTAAGGCTCCTTCCATGACTGTCCCCAGGTTACCCAGTTAAAGATAACTGCTGCTGTTGCCAGGCATGAGTGCTATCTCATTCAAAGTCTCTGCATCATTCAAACCCTCAGCCTCAGGTCTCCTCCACCCCCTCCTCCTAGCCTGGCATCCCTTTCATCAGGTGGCCCTCCCAGGTGACAATCAGAGGAGGAGCCAGACCAGTGAGGGAAGCAGAGAGTGAAGAAACGGGGCAATCACAAAGAAATAAAGCCACCCACCTGAGACAAGGCCCCTTTCTTCTTACAGTTGGTCCCTCCAATGAAGACCATGTTGGGCAAGACTGGTCTGGGATACTCGAACACAAAGTCATATCTCAAGAGCCAAATAGAGCCCTTCTGATATAAGGTGGGTAAGTGTACCTGTCTCTTGAGGAGGTCTGATGCGAGGTCTTCGTACTTTGAAAACAGAAAGTGAAATACGAGGTTCTCCAAATGATTAACAAGGAAGTTGGCCACCCGCTGGGAGAAAGTCATCCTGTCTGAGAACTGGGTGTAGCACCTGGGGATGTAGGACACGGGGTTCGGGCTTCGGCTGAACGTATGCTCCAGGGCAAACGGGAAGCCCCTGAAGAGGTACAGGGAGGGCAGGCCCAGGATCTCGGCCAGGATCACCCCGCAGGGCATGGCCGGGTCTGTGAACAGGGCGTCGAACTTGCTCTCCCGAAGGAAGCTCAGAGTGGCCGAGTCCCTCAGGAGGCTCTGGCAGTTGATGAAGCACAGGTCAACGACGACCATGTTATTCCTGTACTCCACCAGGGGAGCAGTCAGGAGCGATCTCTCAGCGAAGTGCCGGTTCCCAAAGGTACGGAAGCGTCTCTGTAGCTCTTCCTGGTCGTAGGGCACCGCATAGATTTTCCTGGTGTAGTGTTTGGACTCTTTCAGAAGCAAATTGACTTCTGGCACCAGCACCACGATGTCATGGCCCCTGTCACTAAGCACCTCAATTATGCCCTTCATACTGAGCCAGTGGCTTCCATCCTGGGGGACCACCAGCAGCTTGTCACTGAGAGTCACACCCCAAAGCCCTAAGAGGAAAACCCCTGCAGAAATGCCCCGGACCGCACGGGGGAGGCAGGCCATCCCTGTGGAGTGCAGGTAGCAGCAAGAGTAAATGGGTTACGCTGCCTGATCCCGAGGGCTCCCGGCTATTTCCCCTACACTGACTACCTGCCCCTCTTCACAGACCTGGCCTACCTCTCTGTGCTCTGAATTTTGCCCTCTAATAAGCAAGAACCTACATTAATATTTAACTATTTCTAAGAACACAGGTAACTTGAGCCAACCATGCTTCTTAGCTCTTGCCTAAGCTTCTGGGTTTAGTTCTTCTCTTTGTCTGCACCAACCTGTCTCTCCGGTTGGAGGACAACCTGGACAGGCCCCATGAGGCCCACCGCAGCCCCGCCTTCTCTTCTGAGCACCAGGACTCCACAGCATCAGTGATGACCATGTTCACAGATGAATAGCTGTCCATGCTGCTCTGCTTACTTGTCAACTCTCCTCACAGTGGAAAGGAAGCATGAACAGATGTAAATTCATGATTTGAACAACACAATGGAACTGCTCACTCCAAATCCTGGTTACCACAGCAGTGGCCGGATTAAAGGAAGGCACAGAGAAGCCTAATAGAACGTCCCACCGCTCCCAGCTATACCACTGTTATTGGGGAGTTTTGTTATAGCAGAAGATAGAATCTAATCCTAACATATGTGTTCTGACACCACACATCTCACTTTGCGGTTAAGAGCGCAAACGCTGGAGCCAGCCTGCCCCTACCAAGCTGTGCGACCTCACCGCCCTTCCCCTGCATTGCTGCACCTGCCAGCTGGGGGTTGCATCAGTCCCTCCCCTGAGGGGTGGTGAGAATGAGCTGAGTGCAGTTCCCTTGGAAGGGCTCCATCTGGGTTTGGTCAGACACTCTCAGGGTCAAAAAGTGACCCTGCATGACCTGCACTGTGAATACAATAACCATAGGAGGAGGCAGAAATGAAGAAGAGAAGAAAATGTAGAAATATGAAATGGTGGGAAGGTGTCAGGTGACAGGGAACTTGATGGAGGTGACTGGTCCACCAGCAGTTGGAAGAAGGTGGCTCCAGCACAGGGCTCCCCGACATGTTCAGTTTCTAAAACAATTTCCCATTGTCTTCATTTCTTAGGGCCACTGTAACAAAGCACCACACTGTGGTGGCCTGAAAAACAGAGCTTTATTCCCATAGTCTGCAGGCTGGCAGTCTGAGGTCAAGGTGTCAGCAGGACTGGTTCCTTCTGAGGCCTGGGTAGGGGATCTGTTCCAGCCTTGCTCCGGCTCCTGGTGGTTTGCAGGCCATCTTTGTTGTTCCTGAGTTTGTAGAACATCAGGCCATTTCTGCCTGTGTCCCTGTCTGTGTCCAAATTTCCCCTTCATATAAAGACACCAGTCATGTTGGACTAAGGCCCACCCACCCTAATGACCTCATTCAATTTAACTAATTACAGCTGCAAAGACTGTATTTCCAAATAAGGTCACATTGTAAGGTATTGGGCGTTAGGACTTCAATAAAACTTTTTGGGGGAACACAATTCAACCCTATCACTCACCCTTCATCTAATGCAATACAAAGCCCTGGCTGACCATCGTTCTACCGATGAGAAACGGAGGCTTGTTGCCTACAAAATGACATTTTTGGGTAACTTGTGCAGCTTCAGAAGAAAAAATAGAATTGGCTACTTCTAGATCAGCCTTTCTCAACCTTTTGGCCTCAGGACTCCTTTTTACTCTCAATGCGTGAAGACCCCAGAAATGTTTGTTTATGTGGGTAACATGTATTCAAATAAACTGTTTCAGAAATTGAAACTGACACATATAAAAAGTACTTCCTCATGAATTTGAGATAACAAGATGAAACCCATTACAAGTTGACATCTTTTCTGAGAAAGTAACTGTAAATTTCCCAAAACAAACAAAAAAAGTAGTCAAAAGAGTGACGTCGCTTTACCTTTTTTGCAAGTCCCTTTAATGTCTGACTGGAGGAGAGGGACTCTCCTGTCAGCATGTGCACTTGCTCTGCTGTGGTTTTGCACGTTGTGAAGTCTTGGGAAAACTCCCCAGGACCACCACGAGAAAATGAGAGTGGAAAAAGCAAACTAAAACTTAATAGTCTTAGTACTATTAAGGAAACAGGTTGACCTTGCAGACCCCTGAAGGGGTCTCGGGGATCCTCAAGGTTTCCAAAACACCCTTTGAGAATCACTGTTCTAGATTAGGGGTGGACAATTACTTTTCTTTAAAGCCATAAATAGAACATAGTTTGGATGTTGTGGGCCATCTGTTCTCCTTGGCAATGATTTAGTTCTGCTGTTGTACCAGGAGAACAACCATAGGCAACACTAAACAAATGGACACGGCTGTGTCCCCATCACTCTTGTTCATGAGAACAGGAAGCGGGTGAGATTCCGCCTGTGGGCTGCAGTTGGACAACCTCAGTTCCAGACAGTGATAAAAACCACGGTGTTGACTCTTCCCTGCAAATCCACATGCCGCTCCTTCCCTTCATTCCAGATTCACTCAGTGTTATCTCAAAGAAAGCTTCTCTGATGACCCCATTACCACAGGACCCAGCCCATCACTCTGAAGCCCCATCTCCCTCCTCATCTCGCTTCACCCCTTTCGCCATCACCTAACCTGTTACTTATTTACTATGCGCCTCCCCCACCTAGAACAAGAGCACTTTAAGGACGCTGTATGCCCAGTGTCCAGAACAGTGCCAGCATACAACAGGCACTCGATCCAAGTTTGCTGAATGAATGAACTTGCTTTTGATTTGCCTGTTTGTTTTAGTCTCACATTTCAATTTCTCTTTTGTTTTTTTAGTTGTGAGGATTCACCCAAGAAATAGAACATTTAAAGAACCATGTGCTTTTTTTTTTTTTTTTTTTTTTTTTTAGAAAAGCTGGTCAATGACACTATGAGCGTGGAGTCTGCCCCTTGCCTTTAGGAAATTAAAATCTGAGAAGTATAAGTCTAAACAGCACGCAGTGAGAGCCTGAGGTAGGAGTCGGAAAGCCAGGTCTCCTTCCAGCTCTTCCACCTGCCCGGGCTGGGATCCATCTCCTGATCTTCAGGTTTTTCGACCGAGACCTAGGGAGAGGGTCATGTTTGTCCTGCCTGATTTGGCACATTGCTGAGGGAGGTCCAAGAGGGCGAGGGGACCAGGCTGTCCAAGGGAGAGGCGGTTTCCAGTGTGGCTAGAACAGACTCGCCCACAGCTAGTCACGCACAGCTGAACTGGCACGCAAAGTCCTCTCCTAACCCATGCCTGTTGGCACAGGAGGCGTGCTGGGATAGGGAAGGGAGGAAAAGCCTGAGGAACAAGATAGAAAGGATCACCCAAGCACAAAGCTGGGCCCAAGAACACAGCCAAGATGCAAATTCATTGCAGCCAAATTAAACTACAATGAGGTGTCACCTCACGCCTACCAGAATGGCAGTCACAAGAAGCAAACTTTCATTGCAGCCTTCAGGGGAGTGAGCAGGGCAAGAAGGTGGCAGCATTCTGGTTTGGGTCCATCTAAACGACAATAAGACTCCCAGATGGTCACAAAGGGAGCACAATGCAGGTCCGCTCCTCCAGGGCAAGCACAGCCCAGCAGGCTCTTTCTAAAAACAATGCATCCGGACGGCCAACGTTATGTTTCATAATTTGTAACTGACTAATGTGTGTCTCCCCATTGGACTGCAAGCCATGCACACAGAAGGCTCTCAATAGATATTTGTTCAATGACGAACCTTTGATGTTAAACAACAACAACAAAAAGGGTCAACTGTACGTTATTCTGTAACACTGCAAAATCAACAAATGCCATGTCCACTGAGTGATTAGAGGCCATTGATGTAAGTCAAGCAACCTCGGCAAATTCCACAGGCAGGACATTTCCTGAAAAGTCTCCAGTGCACAGAGGGAGACAGTCAAGTGTACAGGTTAGGCACAAGGGTCCTAAAGTCAGAATGTTGAGCTCATTGTGCAAGAATGTTCACAGCAGCATATTCTTCACAGCTGAAGAGTAAAAACAACCTAATGTGCGTGGACTGATGAACAGATAAACAAACTATAATTTAGCCATGGAATATTACTCAGCCATAAAAAAGAATGAAAGGCTTATACAAGCTACAAAAAGATAGACTGTGAACACTAAGTGAAAGAAGTCGGCCACAAAGGACCATATATATCCCCTGATTCCATTTGTGTGAAATATCCAGAACAGGCAAATACACAGAGACAGAAAGTAGATTTGAGATTGTCAGGGGGAGTGACTGCTAGAGGGCATGGGATTTCATTTCGGAGTGGGGAAAACGCCCTGGAGTTAGAGAATGGTGATGGCTGCTTGTGTTCATGAATATACTAAAGACCACAGCATTGTATGCTTATAAAGGATGAAAGTTATGATATGCTTATAGCTCATTTTTTTAAAAAAAGAATGTCTGCCCCGGCCCACATGGCTCAGTCAGTTGGGCATTATCCTGTGCACTGAAGAGTTGCTGTTTCGATTCCCCGTCAGGGCACATTCCTCAGTTTTGGGCTCAATCCAGAAGGGGGTGTGGTGTGCAGGGGGCAACCAATTGATGTGTTTTTTTTTTAAAGAGCCTGATCCTATCTTCTATATAATGAAGAGGTAATATGCTAATTTGTCCATTACGGTGTCCAGTCACGACCAGTCTGTGGGCAGGGCCAGGGGCGGGGACTTTCACCCCCAGCACTAACTTCCCACTGCCTGTGTGCATCCCCATTCAGCACTGGTATGACGCTGTGGGGGAGGAGGGGCGGGCCTGGGCTTGAGGGGGGACCTAAGGCCGTGCCCCAGGCCTGGCTCCTGGCTGGGAGACCTCAGGCCGTGCCCCCCACCCACAGGGCTTGACAGGGGACCTCAGGTCACACCCCCCGCCCAGTGGGGCTTGACGGGGGACCTCAGACCATGCCCTGCACTCCAGCGCTGGGCCGGGGGACCTGAGGCTGTGCCCCCCACCTGGAGGGGCTTGACAGGGGTGGGGCCAGCCTGGTCTAGGTCTCACCCAAGGGGGTGGGGCCGGCCGGGTCTGGGTCTCCTGTGTTTTCGAAGCGCGTGAGGGTGGTGGGCAAGGATTTGACTCTAGGTCCCGCGGTGCGCGCCAGACTCAGACAGGAAGAAGATTTTATATACATTTTACTAATTTTCTTTCATCTCTGACACTTCT